TCATTATTAACACGATAGTTAACCTTGTTCGGATTTTTCACGATATATAATATAGCCGTATTTATATATAAACTATTTATTTATTTTTAAATATTTAGAAAATGTATATATTTATAATATATAATGAATTACAATGAATTAACGTGGGTGCCAGAGAAATGTTTACACATAAGATATTGGGGGAATTCTATTAAAATTTCAGGGGGGACTAGTATACTTAACATCAATATTCAATATGACTAGTATATGAGTTGTAGGAATTAATCCTCCTCCAATCAGCAATCCTACTATAGACCTCGAAAAAATGTTTAAAGTTCATATAATACGTTAGGTTTATTGTATACAAGTAATAAAAATCTATGATTATTCTAACGTTAAATGTTTGCACAGAAAATGCAACAAATATTTAGTTGTATAAACTGGTGATTATGATACTCGATCTCATATTTATTATTTCAATAAAGTTAAGGCTTAGTGATTTATAAATAATATTATCTATGAATTTTAACGATTTCTTTTTATTATATAAATTATCACAACCTTTTTCAAATAAATTAGACATAAGTTCTCAAATAACTGAAAAATTTAAAAGCGAAAAAAAATTAAACAATTATCAAAATTTATATTTTTAACAATTTTTTAAAAGGGGCTCATGAAATACTTAGCGGGCTTAGTCTCGTCCTCCCTCATTTTCAACTCTAATTATAAGGACCCGCCTTCCATGAGTTCAACAATATTATGGAGTTCTAATTATTGACGCAAAATTAACATAAATATTAATTTCACTGTTTCCCGCAAAAAGCACACTATTTTGCACACTTATTTGAAATATTATACGTCAACACTTTTATACATATTAATAATTTAAAAAGTTTAAATTCTTGAAAGTGACAAGCCCTGATTATAATCTTGATTTTTCAACTGACAACAATAAATCGGTCCGGTCTTCAACTGAATATCTCTACGGTTCAGGGTTTTTTAGTGGTTTCAAGGATACGTGTTTGGACGTATAATTTCTTTCAGTATACTATAATATATATACTAGTGCATTATGCTCTTTTTGTTTAGTATTAGCCACCTATTATAATATACCTATAGGTACAATTGGTTATCTGTGTTTATTCAATATTCAGTTCACGGTATTATAAAAATAATGTTTGATGTTTTAGACTACGATAATAATTCAGCTATATATTACTATATTAGTATATAATACCAATAGATAAGTATTATACTTATATATTATTATGTATATGTATATCTAATACATGACTCTATGTTATGCAGAGTTCTTTTGGACTGCTGCTACATAATTTGTAATTCAAAGTATTTTTTCATCTCTTTCTTTTTTTTTTTTTTTTATTGTAAACTAAAATCATTTGTAATACCGCAAGGGTTTTTGCGCCTATATTTTGACAGAGGCTTAGATTTTATTATAGCCATTGTAGAACAATCGCTATAAACGAAATAATAAAGTTCATAGAGCCACGATAATATTAAAACACTCGAACACTACTCATCAAACACATTATTGTAATGTAATAATGACACGGTCGCGTACAGACGTGTGCATATAATAACCATAATATAATAATATAACCGACGTATATCGTCGATACACGCGTCACTGGTCACATGCACTCACATAACATGTATAATAATAATATGATGTATAGCTATGTGTCTACCTACCTATCTAATTATTATACATGACGAAAAAACACTGTTTTTTTATTATTATTATTATTATTATTATTGTTATATTAATAAAATTAAAAGATATAGAAAAAGAAATGATAATAATTACCGGTCCCCGGTGTATTATTGTGTAGACTGTGTAGAAGTAAAAGGTGCAGCATCGTTACGGGATGAGAAAATCAGAGGGAGGGAAGGGGGCGCTAACAATGATAAATGTAATGTGAAAAAAAAATTAAAATAAATAAAATATCCATTATAATTGTCTCCACTATAACATACGATTACAGAAACAATATGTGTAGGGTGTGTCCTTAATCGCGTGTGCGTGTGTGATTGTCCGTCTCGCATGGTCTATATATGACTATAATAGACCATTACATTACAATAATAATATTTATACATATATAACGTGCGTGTATTATACACTACTAGTTACTGCTGTATATATAATATACCCTTCGGCGGTGTCGGAGGTCCTCTCGTGAAAAGGAATTAAACGTCGGACTCCGTTTATGACGTGAACGGATAGGAAGTAATAATAAATAATTAAATAACAAGTGTCCCGCATTCTTGCAGTAGGTATTCAGAATTCAAAAGAGGAGCAGACGATAACAATAATAAAAGCGCAGGACGGCGGAGGACGTCGAACGGGGAAAAACGAGACGCGCGTCGTACAATATTATTGTTGTTATCCAAGCTCTGTACGAGTCCAAAACCCTCGAACGCGCCGACGACGATATAGATCCCTGGAAGGGCTTGACGCACGCACACCCACACACACACACACACACACAGACACACGTTTGTCGTTCAGATATATTATTATTTATTATTATATATTTCAGTGTGTATATATATAATATATATTATATTATATGCGTGCGTAATATTGTGTACGTCGTGTCGAATAGACTATATTATTATTATTACGATAAATCGAGTTTATCGACCGAACGCACACAGCGTGTGCGTGTGTGCGCGCCGTACGCGGGTTAGTGCACGGCGTAGTATTACACACAAATACACAATAAAGGTAAGTATACATGCACAATAAAATTATGCTCTATACGTACACGTCTCATTCGCTCTTCGCTGGCCTTTACTATACATATTTATTATTTATTATTATCATCATCTATCGCGGCGCGCAATAACACAACAGTAATATTATTATCATAATAATATTGTTTTACCGATACGTCGTCGATGGTTACCTGCTATATTCGTTCTGCATAAACATAATATTATTGTGTGTATGTGTATGTGTGTGTCCGTTATAATGTTTTGATTTTATTTTTTTTTTTTATAATGTGACGTGTGAACAATGTTATAATACTTTTTTACTGCGATCCGGTATAAGTGTGTGCAACGAGCGGCGAGCGTGTCATCGCCACGCTACCCGAGTGAAAAAAAGTAAAAAAACAATAGTGCCCGCGACCTGCAGTCGTACTAGTCCCAGTGACGTCGGCTTAAACAACGGCTTACAGCTCTCTGCCCGATAAATGTATAACGATTAACGCGTTTAGCTGTTGCTGTTGTTGTTGTTTGTTTGTTTGTTTGTTTGTTGACGATGATACCTACACGCATAATATATCATTATGATAATAAACTATCGTTCAAATATCATAATAATTATGCCATCACTTCTCCGCGGACCACCTAACCGCGTGGCGTGCGAATAGTGTAATACGACTACGGCTGAAGCGGTGCCTACGCGTAGAGCAGCAGTTCGTGGGACGGGAGGGGAGGGGAAGGCGTCTATATTAAATATATTATTACCGTATATACATAATAAAAATAATAGTATGCAATACCGACTGAAAAACGCGAGGCACGCGAGAATATTGTATTATTTGTATACATAATATACCTACTGTACCTATAGATATACTATAATATTGTGTCGGTGCGGGGTAAAAAAAACGGGTTGGAGGAAAACAATCGGATAAAAATCGTATCGATTGGACGGCGGCGTGAGGGGGAAACGAAAAAAAAATGTGTATAATAATTGTATAATATCGTAGAAAAAATAACCACCGCCGCCGCCGCAGGCGGGCGACCCCGTGTATTATTTTCATAGTCGTTGACCGAACGTCTTGCGACGTCTGAGCGGGACACTGGCGAGTGGCGGTGCCGGCAGTTGTCGAAGTATAAAACGACGGGCCGTACGCGGTACCAAAGTGTATTTTTCATCCTATAAAATAATAATAATAATAATAATAATATAATATAATATAATATTAAATAGGTTACGCACAATCGCCCGTCAGCCATCAGCTGCCACCCACCGCCTCCGCCGCCGCCGCAGCCGTCGTCCCTATTTTGTACTAGTGCCCGCGCGTTTTAAAAAAACCGTAGAAAGGGAACACAACACACACACACACTCGTCAATCGCCACCGTCAGCGGGTCTTTGTCTCCTCGAGGCGGCGCGGCGGTGACGTCGACCGGCGGCCCTCTTCTCGAAATAATCACAACAATATAATCGCCCGGCGACATTATTGGGATCACACGTATCGTGAAATATTATCAATTATCATTATTATTGTTTATTTTTTTCAATAGTCTCCCGGAAACGGAAAGAGACACGATAATCGTAAGTCCGGTGTACTACGCCGTTGTTGTGCGAGACGAGGTCTAATAAATAATAAATTAATAATACAATATGCCTATAATACGATGATAACAGCAGTATTATTGTCGTCGGCGATCGTCTGGTGGCGGTGGGAAACGAATCCGTTTTCGCGCGTCATAATGTTATTATCAGTTATCACCACCGACCATCATTAGCACACGCATATTATTATTATATTATTTTATTATCATGATGACGTACGTAGAGACTTCCGTTTCGGGACCATGTGCAATGATACGCGAAAAAGCGTCGGCCCTTTTTCTCGAGGCGTACGGGGAAATGCCACACACGCACATGTGTCGTGGCGCGGCGGCGCCGAACGCTGTGCCCGTCCCCCGTCGTTAAGGGATCGAACGAGCCGCCACGTCGCCACAATCCGCTCGGCGGCGTTTGTTGTGCGCGTACCGCCTCCTTTCGTTCGTCCCCCCTATCCCCCGCTTCACCCACTCGACATTGTACAACAAGCCGGCGGGGGGCGGGCGCCGCCGGAGAGAGGATTGCCCCCCCGCCACCCACAATCAAACCGACGGTCCGGCGGCGAAGGGGACACTACCGCCGCCGCCGCCGCCGCTGCGCTGAACCGACGACGGCGACGACGACGACCGATCGCCGCGACCGGCCGAATATTACCGTGCGCGCGACCGTGACAACGGTGTCGGTGCCGCACTGTTGAAGTGGGTTCACTACCACCACCACTACTGTAGCCGCCGTCGAGCTCCGACTCTCGAGTGTATTGCACCGAAGAACAATTATTATAGTTAACACTATTATTTTTTTTTCCTTTTTTTTTTTTTATTTTAGTTGTTATTATTATTATTATTATTCCACCGTCGTCTTGTTCGTGCTACTCCTCACTGGCCACTGCACGGTCGCAGATCACACCGCGCGGTGACAACGACCATAATAATTTTTCCGGCAAACGCACTCGGCGGTGTTCTTTTCATCTTCCGTCTCTCGTATCAACAATAATATTCAGTAGGATTTTCTCTCTTCCGATCCGTGTGACACTTCGACATAACTGGTGCCGTAATAAGTCCGGAGCGCGTGACCCGTCGCCGTCTATACATCGCCGTATTTGGTCAGTGGACGACGAGCGCCCTAATTGAAAAGTCGAATCGTCGTCACCGGACAACAAGTGCGCTTTTCAAATAATATTTCGTCTTCAAAAATTTACATCTGATAATTTATTCCTTTTTTCCATTTCCAATTTTTTTTTTCTATTTACTCGCGCATCAATTTGTATTACACTTACGTATACATTTTCGGATATACGTAAGTACTTTGTGTGCCTATATGTATATTGTACATAGTATTAGCAAGTAAACTTCGTGTGAGACCACCACCGCGACAATGCCGACCGGAAACGTCGCCGATATCGAAATCATGCCGTCGACTAGCTACAGGACTGCCTAAATGCGTGTGTTCAGGTACTACGTGACACCCGAACAGCTATGAGTATCACGGTCACCACCATTAATCCCGTATCGACAATTAAAGAGATGCCTTTGCCTCGGAACCGGCCGCCGCATATATTGCTGTCCAACAACAATGGTACGTCGAGCACGTCCAATGACTCGTGCATATCGCAGTCGGATTGCGGTAGCGATCACCTGCCGTCGTTACTCAAATACTCGCAAATTCTCGAGAAATCTAACGCCGTCGCCGTCAACAAACTGGCGAAAAAGTGTTCGAAACCATCAAACCTCGACATAATTGTTGACAAGGCGACAAGCAACATAGATTTGTATGTAGAGAACAAGGACGCCCTATATGGTATCGGAAAATCGGCCACTTGTCTCCAGCCAATCATCAAGCACGATGATTTGAGCAGCTCACCAAATTCAAAGGTCACATCACTGAATAAACCGAAAAAAAAAGGCTTCACACCCGACTATGTCTGTAGTATTTACAGCAGTAGCTTGACCAAATTTGAAAAAATTGAGATATTTGGTTTTCCAGAAATATATTTTTTTGGCATTGAAGCAGACAAGAAGCAACGACCTTTCAATGGAACACAATCATTATTTGATAATGATCAAGGTGGATATGTATTCGTTCCTCATGATCACGTTGGTTATCGTTACGAGCTGCTTAAAGTAATTGGCAAAGGCAGTTTTGGTCAAGTAGTCAAAGCGTATGACCACAAGCTTAACGAACATGTAGCACTCAAGATTGTCAGAAACGAGAAACGGTTTTATCGGCAAGCCCAAGAAGAAATCAGAATATTAGAACATTTACGCAAGCAAGATATTCACAATTTAATGAACATTATTCATATGTTTGATAGTTTTACATTCAGAAAGCATATGTGCATTACTTTTGAACTTTTATCCATCAATTTGTATGAACTAATCAAGAAAAATAAATATCAAGGGTTCAGTCTCCAATTAGTGCGAAAATTTAGCCATTCACTACTTGTATGCCTTGATGCTTTATACCGTAACAAAATAATTCACTGTGATATGAAACCAGAAAATGTTCTCTTGAAACAGCATGGCCGAAGTGGGATCAAGGTAAATACCCATCAAATGTTAATATATTTAATAATATTAATTATTATATTTCCATGATGTGTTTTAGGTATATTTTATTTTATGCTATTCTTTTTCAATCATTATCTCATTTGAATCAGTATAATGAACCAATCAGTTTAAAAATTTCTCATACTTAATAAATACTAAATATTACCTTTCTATTCACATTCAAAATTTCTAGAAATTTTATCATAAAAGTTTCATAATTGTTAGGTTCAATTTATGTTTTCCAGTTGCAATTTTCAATATAATTATACATAATGATAAACAGAAAATTATTATTTTGATTTTAATTAGATATTTAAAGTTATACACATGAAATAAATGAATCACTGAAAAAATTTTGATTTGAGTTGTATAATCATGGAAATTCAACATTATGCATTAGTATTACTCACTGCCCTTAGACTTATTTATTTATAAACTATGAGTCATATTTATATACATAAATTTTATCATTATACTTTTAACTATAATCATATTCAGTGATGCTAATTATTATTCATAAGCATGTATTAGTTTTTCTAACTAAAAATTTAATCTTATTCATTAATTACATAGATACTTCCCCACATATTTTTTTTGTTTCTAAACTTAAAATTTCCTTTTTTTTTTTTTTTTTGTAAGTTTTTATATTTTTATTTTAACAAGGTTTTATAGTAGGTTTTAAAACTTTTAAAAATACTAAAGATAATATAATTTAAATTTAAGAACTTTAGGTAGTTTGGTGTACATTTTATATTATGTAACTTAATACTATACATTTTGTACATTAAAGTACTTTACAATATTAAAAAATCAATTTTCTTTTACCTTCATAGCTAAGAGGGTAAGTACAGTACACTTATTAGGTGTTATTTGTTTTCTCTCTGATTAACAAACAATAAATCAATTTGTGTTCAGCAGAAGCTATAATTCTAATATTAAAAAAAATATTTGTTATCTATTTAAAAAGTTTAGAACATTGTTTGTGTTATTTTTCAGTTATTTTTATTTCAATTTTTATGCAAATTATAAGTATGTAAAATATTTGTAAAATATATTTAAAAAGCCTATACACAAACACAGCTAATATTAATAGCTGTTAATATTAGCTAACTTTAATTTTGATTGTAGGTCAATTATCTTTCAAATATTAAAGCTAACAATACAGCATTATTTCTACTAAATCTAAATTTGTTATTTTATGCACAGATTAGAAAAAGAAAACAAATTATGTACTAAAGTCTTCTTAGCCTTTTTAAAAAATTAAATTGACAATTAGGTACTATTATTTTTTACTGTTAAAATGTATTTTATAGATTTTTTGCTCCTTAGGTATTTATAAAAAATATACATGCAATTTATACATTCAATATAGTAACTTATAACTATAATATTAGTAAGTATTAAAACTGTTCAAGTTTTTAAATAATTAAGTACTATTCAGTAGTATCTTTTTACCTATTTATTGGTATCTACCTAATTTAAATGGAGAAAGTTACTTTTAATTTTTTTCATGCAACTTTTTCAAGAAGGTACCAAAAATTTATAAAGCTTATGTATATTATTGCTTCAATAAAATACAAATATTTTCATTTACCTATTGAGTATAATTAATTTTATTAAACTTGAATAATTTTTTTTTTTTTAATTAAAAAACTTGGTGAAAACCATTAGTTTATTCTTAAATAATTACATATATTTATTATTATTAAATGCTAGTCTATGCCTTATGATAGTGGTTATTTAAAAATTTCTTTTTAAGTTTTTATAATGATAAAATTCTATGAAAATAATTAATATATTACTCTTAATGCACACAATGGTAAAATTAAATTATATTTAATCTTGAAGTATTTATTAAGCTTTATCATAAATTAAGTTTCTTCCTGCTAATAAACGAGAAATGAAAATCATTAAAATATACTATATATTTAGTATTATTATGTAAAAAAAAAAATCAAACTTTAAATAATCATTCAATACTTGGATATACAAGTAATTTTTATTTTATTTTAAAATTTCAAGTGTGCATAAAGTACTTTCTTAATTTAATCAGATAATGATGTTTTAGATGTGTAGACCATAATATTCTGTAATGAGTAAGAAATGGTAAACACATACTTTGTACTGCCTATTGCATACTTAGTATAGTGAAAATAAACTGAGTAATACAATTTAAAAAATGATATATAATTAGATTATTTAAGAACTTAGATCAAATTTGCGCGATTTCAATTATAATTACCATCAGTGTTAGTTTAGTAATATTTTAATATTGAATACTATTTTTACTTAACGAACAATTTCGATATCACAAAATAAAATGGTTCGTTTTTCTGTTTAAACAATCTATATATCAACAAATATAATACCTAACATTATCTAAAATTCTAAAATGTATGAAATTAAAAAAATGAATAAATTGTAAATAAAAGAATTTAAAATGATAACATATTTGCTGTTTTTAGCTGATGAAAAAGTATTTAATGAAATAGTTAATGTTTTTTTTTTTTAAATCTACTTTCCTTGATTTTTATTTTTATTCTACATAACATATTAACTGATTATAATATTTCTATTATTAAATCTACAATCAAACTATATGACTTCCTGTAACTACTTATTTAAATTTGTAATTAAAATTATGTAAAATATATACATTTTTTTTCTGCCTAAAATAGTATAGTACCAACTATCTGCACCTTTCATTTTTTCTTTATGACCATTTTAAAATGTCTAACAACTATATAAAACAGATTTAAATAATAAATTTATCATCCCAGTTAATCAATAACTATTTTAGCTATTATAAGTATTATTATTTCAATCTGCAAAATTGAATTAAATTCTTATTGTAATAGGTGCATATAACTTACTCATATCTAATATTAATTTTTTTTTTTATTTATAAAATTTAATTTTGTAATAAATGTATATTTTTAATTGCTCTAATTTATTTTATTTTAATAAATTACTATTTTTGTTTAAATTTTTGCTATTATTAAAATATAAATTTGTTTTCAGGTCATTGATTTTGGTTCTAGCTGTTTTGAACATCAGAGGGTGTATACATATATCCAAAGTCGCTTTTATCGAGCACCTGAAGTAATCCTGGGCGCAAAATATGGACTTCCGATTGATATGTGGAGTTTAGGTTGCATTCTTGTAGAACTATTTACCGGTTTTCCATTATTTCCAGGTGAAGATGAAACTGATCAATTGGCCTGTATTATTGAACTATTAGGAATGCCTCCTAAAAAGCTTTTAGATGCTTCAAAGCGTTCTAATTATTTCATAAGCTCTAGAGGGTATCCGAGATATTGCTCCCAGACCACATTACCTGATGGTTCAACCATTCTCAAAGGAAGTATATCACGGAAGGGTAAAGCTCGAGGACCACCCGAATCTAAAGACTTATCAAAAGCACTCAAAGGCTGTGATGATCCACTGTTCTTAGACTTTATTTCTCAGTGTTTGGAATGGGACCCTGAACGCCGTATCACACCTGCTATGGCGTTAAGGCACAGTTGGTTACGTCGTAGACTTCCTCGCCCTCCAGCTGCTGAACATCAACATTATTCACAAGAAAGCACTCCTACTAGTTTACGGGTAAAATTATCTGAATCAAATCATCATCAAACATTGCCCATGCATTCCAGGAACTCTCAGATATCGGGTAAATTACCCCAGATCACTTCAACATGTATTATGTAAAAATTATCCTCTAAAAAATATATTGTACTATGGTTGTAATTCCTGAATGAAAATGATTAAATTTAGATGAATAGGTAGATTTATTGAAGATCTTAACCTTGTGAATTATTTGTTAAAAAATAGGTATTTACCGATTTTAGGATCTCTAGATCGGCATAATGTTATGTTTGTCTCAATTATATTTTAAGATTTTTTTTTATATTTCAGTAATTTTGAACTCAAACAAATATATTTAATTTTAGAGAAAAGTATAATTTTTTTTTTTTGTGTGTACAAATTTGAAATTTAGCCAATTATATTTTAAGTTCTGTAACTCGTAATTATTATTTAATACAAAAATTGACTATTACATACTTAATTGTATTTGAATCTTAGATTATATTTATAAGTTGTATTATAAAATATACCCCATACATATAAAAAAAAAAATTGTTTAAAATGTAATACATTTTTATCTTTTCCTACCATTCTTTGTTTATATAAAATTTAAACTGATAAACTATATATGTATAAAAAAAACAACAAATATTGTGTATGAAATGTGATCCGAATGTTAATCAAATGTCAGATGTCTATCATTTAAATATAAATAGTTATAAAATGTATTTCCGTTCACAAAATCTGTACAACTTTTGCAATAACGTGTGTGTTCATTTTTTTTATTTTATTTTATAAATTTTTAGATTATTTTATTTTATTTAGTTTAAATTTTTGTTTATTAGCAGATTACTTCAAAAATGATGTTCGATTTTGAATTTTCATTTAATTTATAATATCGAATGAGCTGAATAAAATAATAGAAAATGTACTCAAATTGACTATTAAGATAAGTTTAAAATATCGTTTTTTTATTAATTTATTAATATTATTATTAATGAGTAGTTACTTATTGATATAACATCAAATTATCATAAATCATAATGTAGTCATTTTTTAAATGATGACAATGTTTTTACTTAATCTGTATAATATGTATTTTAATCTCTTTTATATTACATGACATGTGATAAAATCTTGAGTCTACTATTCGAATTATTGGATAACTCAAAGTTGAAGTAGACAGAGAGAATACAATTATTATTTCATATCGGAAACGAAAACATCAGATTATAAGAATTTAATCTTAATCGGTTATGATTAGCGATTATAGTTAAGATAGTATATAACATAATTAAAATTTAAGTTCATTATAGTTAAGGCTACAATAGTTATAATTTTATTAAGCAACAATGTAGAAGTTTGTCGTAAGCTTTTTGTTTCCATTATTGTATATACATTACGTTTCTAACGACTGATATTTATGTAAATAAATACATAGATAAAATATCTTTTAAGTTCAACTGCGGTCTCAACATTTTATTTAACAACCAAAATAAATATAATTACATTGAAATTTGAAATTTGATGCCGTAATTTAATGTATCCTAATACAATGGTCTTCAACCGGTGGGTCGCGACAAGTCTTTTTTTTTAAATAAAAATTAGATTTATAAAATTATATAAGGTAAAGAAATAATAATAATATTATTATATTATAATCATAATGGATATCAAGTATAATGTTTCATATTACACTGGTATAATTCTACATAAGCAATTTGTTCTTTTTTATCAGGCTTACGTGAGTCACAAAAAATAAAGGCCTAAAAGAGTGGGTCGCGAGTCCAAAAAGGTTGAAGACCACTGTCCTAAAAGATCAATAGAACATAGACACTATACACCATATGAATCTTTACTGAATCCTTAATAAAATAGAACAATTACTTTTATTATAAAAATCTGAAAACACTGAAGGAATCATTTTATATCATGTATATTGTGTTGAAAGATTATTTGTTCATAACTTACTGTAAATCAATGTATATTGTGTGCTATGATATAAATCATTAGAATACAAAGTAATTGATAATTAATATATTTTACTTTTAACTATTTAGTTAAATGTATTGGCTGAATGTTGTGTTCAGATTAAAAGTACCTACAAAATATGATTAATATTTGAAAAATGTATTACTGTAAATTTAAAACATGACCAAATTAAATTGTATCAAATACTACATAAATAATTTTGATGTAAAGATTTTATTTCACAATAATTGTATCTAAAACTTTCATGGATTGCTGGTTGATAATTAAAAAAATACTGTGTTGCCACCATTTTTCAATATATTAGTAAAAGTGGGTACATCAAATCATAACCAATCGTTAAGTGCAACTAACAGAGTCAGCTAAATGATTGACTCTGATCAATGGGTTAAACTCTTGACAATTTCACAGTCAATCCCCCTTCGTTAGAACTCATTATTATTTAACACACGCTTAATATTTCCAATTGACTCATTTGTATGAAAAAAACATTTTCTCACCTGAAAATGTGAACACAGAAGTACAGACAACTTTCTGTTGGTCATCGCTCAGAGTAGGTACCTCCTAATAGAGTAATGTCTCCATTTAGCAGTCGACGACAGCAGTCCTCCGATCCACAGAATATAATTCACTGATGGCTAATGGCTATCCATATTCCATTTCCATATACAATGACGTGCTTCTATAATCTATGCCAATGATACTATAATAGTAATAATAGTAGAATGTAAATTTGTTTTGAAATCGTTCATAAGATTTATGTGATGATACGCACTTTGTTGATATAGTAGATTTACCTACACTGTAAAATAAAATTGAACTATTGAAGATCCGTTTTCTCCTTTTTCTAATTTTTTTTCTATTATTTCGATTTTTGTTACAATATTTAACACATATTTTTTCATTTTATTTTTAAACCCCATTTTAATTTAAACGTAAGCTGTGTACTCGATCGCGTTTACGAACCAACTAAATATATATTTAACTATTTAAGTGAACCAAAATAGTTAATAAAATATTCTCGCATTTCATAATATGCTGGTATATATATACAACACGAAAAACGAACATAACGAATGATAAAATTAAACTAAAAACAAATTTGTTCAACGTTTTACAGTGCGTTTAATCGACGCTCCCTGTTGGTGTTAAATTAGAATTCAATGATCGATCATTGCATACAAAAAACGATTCTGAACGAAAAAATCCGTCTACCAGTCTACAATATTACTTATTAGGCAGGTGAGTACGTTATACTTATATTTTATGATCCATTTAAATTATTGCTGTAGTTCTGTTCAAGTTAGGTATTTATTTTATATTTCTAGCATTAGTTAGAAAACATTTTTATTGGAAAATTGACATTTTAAAATGTCATTGTATGTGTAAAATACAATGAAATATAATAATAAATTTCAAGTGTCCTCGATTAATATTTTTAAACCACAAAATAATATCGAAAATCATTATCAATATTAAATATTTGATTTTGTTCAAATTTGAACTTGGATTATCTACAAAAAAAAAAAAAAAGAATTGTATTTTATTTTTATTTATAGATAATTTGGCTCATGAGAAACTTTGTATTAAACTTTTAAGCCTTAGTCATAAAAGTTAAACATTTCATAAATTTTTAATTAATAAAATAATTTTTGAAAAATGGCTGGTTTATAACGTATTTTTAATGTTTTTAAACAACCATAATTACAACTTAAGCCTTATAAAGAACCGTGTATTCGAATTTTAAGTTTTTTAATCCACTTTATTGAAATTTATGGTAAAAAAAACTAAAATAATTGAAAAATTGAAAATGTAAATATCTCAAAAATATTTTATATTTTTATCATATATGTATATAGAAGATGCTTATTTAAATATTTGATAACAATTTCAAGTATTTAAGGCTACTAATTGTTTTGATGTTTTGAAGTACTTTAACAAAACTAAAAATAATTTTGTCAAATACTCGCTGTATTAGTTATGGGCGAAAATACCTAGGTTTTCCTTATTTTTTATTGTTCTTCCTGGTTATTTTAAAAACTTGAAATTTTATGCTACTAACCTTTACAAAATACCAAAATACTTAAATTTATTGTTTGACTTGGAAAATAAGATCGGAATCTTAGTCTCCTATAATTAAATTTATTCGAGAAAGTCCCCTCAAAAATAAAAAAAATATTAACTCATTTTATATATTAATTATTATCTTAATTAAATTTATATTAAAATATTAAATTATTATTTTATATTCTAATTTATTGATTTTACAAAGATTTTTATTTAATTTTTTTATTCTGTATACCTATTCATTGGGGTAGGTAAAATTGTCCGAAAGATTCATCACTATGCTTCTTTTCATATTAAAGTCATCTTAGATTGACACTATAGTGAAGTAATTTTTCAAAATTCTCAACGGTTTTTCAAAAATTTGGGAGAAAATGATTGAAAATGTAACTTTTTTTTTTTTTTTTGAACTTATAATCTTAAACTTTAAGTAAGTAAACTCGACTGTTTTTGCCGAATTATGAAATTTATTTAATTTGTTTTGTCGTAACTCAAAAAATACAAGTAATTTTTATAAATACAATAAAATACAAGTCTTCAAAATAAAAATAATATGATAAAAATACTAATTTAACAATTGCTTATTTAAAATAAATTATTGTTGATAGAATTATTGATATTTTTAATATAGGTTGCGTGAACTAAATGTATTTTTATTTTCTAAGTATAGAATTGTTTTGATGACTAGAAAGTTATTTTCAACCACTTTGTTTGGGAGAGTTGTTAAAGTTGTTATTTGTAAAATTAAAAAAAATAGAAATAGAAAGAAATATGATATTATCTTCTTTAGTGGCTTACTCAAATAGAATATTAATTAATTTTTTATTCATTAAACAAATTAATTTAAAACATAAAATTTTTTACATAGATTTATATTTAGCAAAACAGTCAAAATAATATGGTTTTGTTTTTCTTTGGCCAACATATTTGGGTTCCTAAATGATGAGAACATTTTTTTGGAATAACAAACTATCAAGTTTAAAATTGATGATGAGTGATTACGGTTTGTGTTAATTCGATTACCCTATTAAACCTACATTTTTTTAACTAACAGATTTTATATTTTATATTAGGGCCCAAAACTTGAGGAACTAATATTTTTATAGGCCGAATAATTGTAGGTTCTTATGAATAGGAATATTTATAATGAAAATCTTCTATAAATGTTTAATTATTAGATATGCACAAATAAAATGGATTTTACAAAAAAAAAGTGGTTATGTTTTGTAATTGGGTAAGACGTTATGTGAACGACAACCACAATTAAAGTGTCATGTTGAACATTATAATATATCCTTT